CGTCCGGGTGACCTGCCTAAAGCCACACAGGTGATGGGCCTGTGAGCTGCAGCTCAGACCACATCACTGAGTGTTCAGTGCATGACCGGTCCCTGGGCGCCTGGGTTCTGGCAAAGGAAGCCGGTGAGCGATGAAGAGTGAGGGACACAGCTGCTAGGGTCAACTGCCAAGTCCGGATTCACCGGGTGGGTGGCCCTGAGTAAACCGCCCCCCCTTTCTCACTGGCAGATCTTTGGTCTGAACTGGGGCGTCCAAGATTCTTTTCTCTTTTCCCATCTTGTGTCTCTCCAACAGTTTGGCTACCACTCACCGTAAAACCATAAAACCATAAAACCATGGCAGGGGTCTTGGGGTTAGGGTTGCTTTGAGGGGTTTAAAGGAATTTAATATAAACATGGACGCCTAAGTTTTGACTGGTTACTGGCAAGATTTTCCCTGGGTAAAGGGCCACCCTTTGCTGGGACTTATACATAATAAGGAATTAAAATTAAAAAGAAAATGGAATCCGAAGCCTCAGGTCCAGCTCCTGGCTTGTCTCTGCTAGTTGGCCACCTCTCAGAGCTTCGACTTCCTCGTCTGTGAGTTATGTGTGGTATTACCTTTCTTTCAGGGTTCTAAAACGGCTACACGGAATCACGAAGATGGAGGTGTCGTACACAGCAGGTTGGCATCACAAAGTGGAAGCACCTGGTGCCTGGGAAGGGTCTCCTGCCCCCTAAGCTCGATGTTCCTTCATGGAGGGGGACCCGCTGGATGTGGTCCCTTTGCTTATTTCCCTGCTCTGCCCCAGGCACAGCCGTGACCTCTGGCAGAAGCGCTGACAAGATGACAATGGACATGGTAGCTCAGCCTAGACCTTCCTTTGCTTTAGAAAGCAGCGCCCACGCAGACACGAGGCTGCGGGCTCTGCAGGTCTCTGTCCCTGTGTGTGGCAGGAAGGCGGCCCCGGGCCTTCATTGACTCGGACCAGGAGACAGGCTGGCCTCCTTCTGCAGTTCATTTAACAGGCTCATTTGGCCCTTATGCTCAGGGGATGTTTTGACCTCGATCTGCCTTGCTATTCACGCAACTGCTCAGTTTGTTGAAAACCTGGGTAGGAAAGAAGGACGCAATTTCGTGTTGCACCCCGCCCCCAACGCCTTGAGACCCCCAACCCCATTCCCACTTGACTATGCCTGGCCTTATTCCTTGGCACCTGACTTTGAGAAAGACTGCATCTCCGTCCTGGAATCTTTGAGGGGAGCAGGTGACGCCACCTCATCCGTCACTTGCTCGGCTGTTTCATTACCCTCGCTGACACGCCCTCCTTCTGGGGCTAGCCCACATTCCACCCATGCCATTTAGTAGGCCCATTCCCTCCAGGCGCCTGGCACCTGGCCTGATTCAAGGCAAGATGAATAGCTTGCTCACAGTCACTCTCCTTTCTTACAAAGTCACCCTTCTGCCTGGAAGTATTTGTTCTTTAGAGAGAGTGCCAGAAATGCAGCTTTTGTTGGGTTATCTTTCCCAAGCACAACTGACTCTCGGATTTATACACTGCCAGGACTGACCGTCCAGATGATCTGGGCCTCCCTCTGGGCACTAAGCACTTAAAGATGCTGCCGGTCAGCTCTGTCTGTTCCTTTGCCTGGCATGTCTGGGGGCACACACAAGCTGGCAAGTATATTCCAGACACGCATGGTTCCGGTACTCCGCACCTGGTCCTGGCTGATTAACCAAGCCTTCCTGGGTCCAACATCACAGAACACTCCAGGTCTGAAAGCTCCTGCGGAATAAGTGTCTCTGTGTGTTCCAGAGACGTTCCATGGACCCTTGGTAATAATCTGGTGACTTGTGCTGAGAGCCGAGCCCTCTGTTCAGTTCAAAGAGGGCTTCAGCTCTTGATTAGTTCCTCCTCCGACCAGAATGCTTTGCTCTGAAATTGAATTATCTCTCCCCTGCCATTGTAGCTCACTGTATCAGTCGGGATAGGCTCGGTTGTGCTGCAGTAACGACTACGCAACCTCAGTGTTGGAACACACTGGTCAGCAGGGAGGGCTCTACTCACGGGGGCCATTTGGAGACCAGCCTGATGGAACAGACACGATGTTAAATATTGCCACTCACCATGTCAGAAAGAACAAGGGACTGGGATGAATTGTGCATGAGTCCTTGAACCTTATGACTACTGTGACCCATGTCACTTCTGCTCACAACAACACATATCACAGGCCAAAGCAAGTCATGTGGACATATCTACCTTCATCAGAGGTGGAAACAGCAATCCCACCACAGGTCTGCAAGCAAAGAGCCAGGAAGATTGGACAGACAGCAATAGTGACTTTTACCTCACCAGCTTTCTCTTTACAGAAGGGGAAAAATTCTATAAACCATCTATTAAAATGGGGAAACCACCCAAGCATGTCTTCTAATTTACTTAACTTAAAGGAAGCAAACTTTGACCCAATTAGGGAAAGAGTCAATGGCATGTTATTAGCAGACACCAGGTGTGCTGACATTTGTTTTTTTCCCTTTTTGGACCACAATGTCATGTGGACATATTGTTCTGTGGATTTATCCATCTCCATTTGGGTTTCTGAATTGATAAGGTTGGTACTAATTTTAGCATGGATGGCTGGGGGGTACTGATACTATGATTGACAGTCACTGAGGGAACTATTTAATTAAAAACCCCCCACCCTGTGCTTGAAAAATGGAAAATCCAGATGCTTTTCATCATGGGAACATGCATTTGCATCTAAACAGCAATGCTGCCTGTATCTCCTCTGAAAATGCCCAGCCTCAGAGGTAAACTGAGCCCCCACTAACAGCTCAGAACAATGCTGGACGCTTAAGGAGGAAATGCAACTGGACAACTAAATCGGACGATAATAGTAATAGCATTGAAATCCTTCTCAATGCCATGTGCTGTGCTCCTTGCTGTATTTTCATGAACTGATTTAATCATCACTGCTAATTCGGCAGGTAGGGATCAGTAGCCACAAGTTCACAATTGAAAATATTGATGCTCACAAAGGTTAAATAACTAGCTGAGATGGTAAAACTAATGATTACAGAGAATGCCTTTATCATCAGCACCATATCCATTTATTGGCTAGAAAATCCCACATCAAAATTATGGTGGTCATTTATTCATTTATTATTTTTGAGTGGTCTCCCCCCCAGTAGTGACGGATACACCCTATGAGTGCAGGGACCAGGTCTGTCTTGTCACCATCAAAGCCATCACTCCTAGCACTGTGCCTGCCATATTACAGACATTCGATAAGCAAGAAGTTCACATTATTACAGATCTGGGCTTGCCTGGGTCCCTGGCAGAGACGCGAGTTTAACCTTCTGCCCCGGTTTAGTCACTTTGCTTTGGATGCTGGGTTTGTCTTCTGCTACCTCCTTTCCTCCATAAGTTGCATCCATTTCTTTGCAGTGTCTTTGGCTTCTGCACACTACTTATCTTAACTTTAATGTTTTTAAATCTCTCTGTCTGGTTCTTACCCTTTTTGCCTCTCTCGCTCTCTCTCCCTTTCCGGCCCCTCTTATCCTTGTGTTCTCTGCTTTAATGATCAAGCTATAGAAGTGCCACCTCCAAAAAACTCACATCTGAAGAATGGCTTGTTGCTGGGTGGTTTGATCCTGAGATGAGCTCGCACACCTCGAGTGCGTGCCAGGAGCCAGGCTTTGACACGGCATCGCACAACCTCATTTGTCTCTGCTCATTAGCACTCAGAAATCCCCTTTCATGACTTCACTCATCCAATTTTAATTGTGTGATTTAACTGTGGAATGTAATAATTGGGTTGGGCATACCCAGGCCTTCCTGTAGATGGGTATGGCCTGCATCTTTGGTCGGGGTTGTCCAGTGACTGGTCAATTTAGCAGCAATGCTATCAAAGAGTGCGTGCATCAGGTGTGTACATAGTGCCCACTATGTGCCAGGCATTGTGCTGGTCATGGTGATATAATGAGTAGGACAAGGACACATGCCTTCCAGCAAAAAGCTCACCGATTACTGGTGGAGAGACATGAGCAGAAGAGAGTCATTTAGTCTTGTTGGCTGTGGCAGATGCACTCTGAGATGGGCTCCCAATTCTCCTCACCTTCTGGTGCACATGTCCTTGTGTAATCACCTCCCTGCAAAGGACCCGTGACTTCCTCTGTGCAATGGAAAACAGTAACAATGGCCGATGGCACTTGATCACAGAATATGAGTGTAATGTCCATCTTGCTACCTGACTCTCCCTTGCTGGCTTCGATGAAGCAATGGTCATGTGACGTGCCCTGTAGAGGAGACCATGTAATGAGAAGTGAAGGGCAGTCTCAAGCCAACAGCCAGCAAGAAGCCGAGGCCTTTAGTTGGATCGTCTGCATGGAAGTAGGTTCTGCCGGTCACCACATCAACGATGACTGGTTGAGATGAGAGCTGAGGCTTGGCTGATGCTTCAATTGCAGCTTTGTAGAGACACAGCTAAATTGGGCTCCTGACTATAGGAAATGTAAGGTAATGCGTGTGTGTAGCTTTAAGCCCTTAAGCATGTGGCGATACCATTATGAGGCAGTAGATAGCTAACACAGTGCTTGAGAAAATCTTCCTGAGGGAGCAACGCGTGGACCCTGCCTGAACGCAGGAGTAGGGGTTTTAGTCAGGTAGCGTGGATAGGGGTGGGGTCCTCAGGGAGAAGGACATTTGCAACAGGGGGCACGGCACAGGCAAGGTCGGGGGCTGGGCTATAGGGGGGCCTCTCAGGCAGAAGCAAATGAAATTGCTGCTAGTCAACATGTTTCAATTTGCAAAAACGTCAGTGTTATTAGGGTTGACCTATTATAATCAGCCCAGCCCTACCTGGGCTTAAATTTGGACATGAAGAAGATCCTATCAACACTCACTTTGACTCATCTAACGTGTTTTGTTTTGTTTTTACTTAAAAAATTAAGATGATCTGTCTTTATGAAATATTTATTTTCCTGAATAAATTTAAAACGTCAGCATTTTTGCATTTCTGCAGGCATGTTCAGGTCTCTCAGACGTGGATTTCACAGGGTCACAAGCAAAGCAGAGCTTCAAGGATCACAAAGCGCTCTTACCTGGCCGAGCCCGCTGCATGCTGGGAGGACACTCCGGAGAGTGGCAGACAAGACAGCCTTAGCTTAGGGAGGTCAGTATCCAGGATTGAACTGTGAATGATCCCGGTTCCTGCTAAGCCCCTTGCCTGCGTCCACCCCGTGTGCGTTTCCTCTCTCTCTGAGCCCTCCACTTTCCTCCTGCACAAACCCAGCCCCTCCCTGTGGTCCTGACCCCAGGCCGCTCTGCAGGGTCTGCTCCTCACTCACCAATCACTCCTCCCATGTCCGTGACCTTTTGCTCCCTCCTGACCTTTTCCTTTCAGCCTGCAAAGGCCAGGCGTGTCCACCTCTGAAGCAGCACCCTCTCTTGCCCCTGCCTAGATTTTCCAGGCTCTGCTGTTGGTTTGCACAGTCTCCCGCTTGTGCTTCTCCATGGCGGTCCTTGAAGGAGAGGTGAATTCTCCCTGGTTCCTTTTCCTCACCTCTCATCTCCTCCTCAATGCCCTGAGGGCTGATAGGCTGATTCTGGTCCACCCACCTCTGGAATTCACTGAGACCTGGGTCTCACCTTCTCTGCAGCAGGTGACATGGTTAGCCACACCCATTTCTTCCTGCAACTTCCGCTGCCCTTGACTTCCAGGTCAGCGCCCTCCCCTCCCCTGCCAGTCCCCATCCTGCCCCTTAATTAAATATGCAGGTTCCTCTGAGTCTGTCCTTTCTGCCATGTGTGCTGGGTGGACGTGCTCATCTTTTCCTGTGTTTAGCCTCTGTCATAAGTGAATGGCCGTCAGACCTGTGTTCCCAGTGCCGGCCTCTGTGGACCGTCCACACCAGCCTCATCGCCTGACACTCCCACATGCAGGAGGCTCTGTTTGTACGGAACTGACTCCCGTGAACACCGGGGTGCTGGGGCTCCCTCTGCCCGTGCTCCCCGCAATGTCCACCCCCTCCTTCCTCAATCTTGTTCATTCCTACTCATCTTTCAAGACTCAGGTCAGGGATTGGCTCCTCCTAGGAGCCTCATGAGCCTCTGGCAGGGACTAGATAACCTCCCCCCTTTTCTCCAGGTTCCCACTCTGGTGGCACTGCTATTTCTGGCTGCCTCTTATTGCTTTCCCTTTGTCTGTGAACTTCTGGAAGGTACAGGCTTTTGCTCTTCTATACCCAAATACTATCACTGTGCTATCCATTCATTCATTCATTCATTCATTCATTCATTCATTCATTCATTCAACAGTAATGTTACAGTGCCCTCCTAGGCCCTGGGGATAGATGGAGACCAGGGGGGATAGTCACAGTGTGTTGGGAGACACAACAGGGGGGTTACAGCTTCCTGGGACTCGTGTTTGGTACGGCATATCCTGGGACTTTGGAGAAGTGCCACCTAATTCACACAGGGTGGTCAGGGAAGGTTTCCCAAGGCTGAGAACTGAGGTAGGGACAGGAGTGAGCTCACTGATGCACTCAGCACAGTGGGGCAGAGAGGTAGGGTTGTTGCAGGTAGAAGGAACAACTGTGCAAAAGTGCAGAGGTGACAGAAAGCATGACTTACCGAAAAAGTGAAAGTAGCCCTCAACGATTGATCTGATGTTTGACGTGGGACCAGCAGAGAGAGAAGGCTGGAGAGGACAGATGGCTCTGACGGCAGCGAGGGGAGGGCTGGAAAGCCCACAAAGGAGCGTCTGCAGCAGCTCAGGGGAGCGGGGATGGTGCAGAACGCCCTCTAATTCGGACCTTGTGGCTCTGTACTCATCAGCGGTGTGAACAGACAAGCGCCCTGCTCACCCTCCTCCCATCACCTCTTTTATCCCCTAATGCCTAGCTAACCTGAGACACTTCATTCCCCGAGGCTTTTGAACTTGGTGTTCCTTCTGTTTGCAGTGTAGTCCCCTGGGTTTGTGCATGGGGGACTTCTGCTCGCTCTCACATCGTAGCCTCTAATGACCTCTGTCCTTCTGTGCCACAAGGTCAGGAGGCAGGACCAGCCAACACTGCTCACGATAAACATTCGTGACTGGGACACATTCAGCATCTGATTCTGACTCCAGCCAGCCTGCGTTCTTCCTTCTTAACAGAGGATGGAACCACCTTTTAATTCTTCTGCTGGGGCTTCCTGTATCTGGGATGTACTCTGTATTGGCTTTGAGTGACCACAGTGACGGCAGGTTGCGCTGGCTTCAAGTGACAGGAAGGGAACAGATGTCTCTGCTTCACTTTTCTCAGTTTGCCTTGATCAGAAGCAATCAAGGCAATGGGACTGCCGCTGGGATCTGTGGGGAAATCAGGCTTCCGCCGGCCTTCGTGCTGTCTAACCCGAGACGCGTGAGAATTACAGAAGGCAGCCCGCATCGCAGCTGGCCCAGACGCAGCCTTCCTGAGGCTGGTAATAAAGGCAGGCTCAGCAGGACAATTTAGAAGTAAATTTATCTGTTTCTGGAAGCATGGAAAAGAACCACAAGGAATGATATTTATGTGAGACGTTACCTTTCCTGTGTTTTCTTTCAAAACCTCTGATGATTCCTTTTTGTCTTTTTGTGCATTTGCCCTGAGATGTGTTTGCAGCTCACCTCCCCCAGCAAAGCATGGCTTTCTGCATTGATAGCCTGATGCAGTGGAGTGTGGAGGTCAGGGCCACAGGCAGAAAATGGCTTTCTCCCTCTCTAAAATGAATATCCTTACATGTGCCCCTGCCCTGCTCATTTCTCTGACGTCACTTCTTTGGTTGCCCATCTCCCAGCTAACTTTTCACACTTTGGCCCCCAAGGCCTTTGCATGTGCTGTTCCTTCTGCTGGGGGTGCTTTTCCCCTGGGTTCCTGCTCATTCTCACATCACAGCCAGAATCAATTTCTCCTCAATGTCACCTTCCTTGATTGTGATCGTTAACTATAGATGCCAACATGGCTGGGCCATGGTGCCCAGGTATGTCATCAAAAATTATCCCGGATGTTGCTGTGAGGGTGCTGTCTGTGGATGAAGTCAACATTTAAATCGGCGGGCTTTGAATAAAGCACATTGCCCGCCCTAGTTGGGTGAGACTCATCTGATCAGCTGAAGGTCTTTATAGAGCAAAGACTAACCTCCCCTGAGCAGGAGGGGGTTCTGTCAGCAGATGACCTTCAGGCTTGAATGGCAACATTGCTCCTACCTGCTGGCCTAGCCTGCAGATTTTGAACTTGCCAGCCTCCACAATCACATGAGTCAACTCCTTAAAATAAGGCGCTCTCTCTCTCTACACACACACACACACACACACACACACACACACACACACACACACTCCCTACTGGTTGTTTTTCACCAGAGAACCCTGATGGATACACTGAACACCTGACGAAGGTCTCACTTCTCCTCCCACACCAGTTGCTCTGCTTTATCATTGCCGAGTTTCCATTCCTAAGACTTGTCACCATCTGCAGTTATCTTGTTGATTTCTTCGTTTCCTCACTCACTGCTTCTCTTCCCCCATAGAATGTGTGTTCCCTAAGGATAGGTACCTTCCCTGTCCTGGGGATGGTTCTAACCTCAGAACCTAGCACAACTTCTGGTGCAGGAAGGGCGCTCAGTAAATAATTAAGTGAAATGAATGAAAGCTTTTGCACTGCAAAACCAGCATTCCAACAAAAAGGCGCACCCAAATGTTCACAGCAGCGTTATTCCTAATAGCCTGGCATGAAATCAACCGAAAATGTCCATCGATTGATGAATGGATAAACAAATGTGGTATACCCACACTATGGAGTATTATTCAGGCATAAAAAAGGATGGAAGTCTTGAGACATCTAAAACGTGCATGCACCTTGAAAACATGCTCAGTGAAAGAAGGCAGACACGAAAGACCACACATTGTATGATTACATTTAAATGGAATGTCCAGAATAGGCAAATTCACAGAAACAAACTAAATTAGTGGTTGCCAAGGGCTTAGAGGGGAGAGTAGAAATAAGAAGTGACTGTTAATGGGTTCAAGGTTTCATTCTGGGGTGGTGAGAATGTTCTGGAATTAGATAGTGCCGATGGCTGTGCAACACTGTGAATATACTAAAAGCCACTGAATTTTATATTATGTGAATTTTATATCATGTGAATTTTATATTATGTGACTTTTACCTTAATTAAAATAAAGCATGTGGTTGTCCACTTTCTCATTTAATCATGACACCCACCATGTTAAGACTGAGCAGAGTTAAAATGACAGCCCTAGGGCCCCACAGCTGGCAAGTGGCAGAGTCCAGAACGCCATCCATGTGCATTTGGCCACAATGGGTTTAGAATCCACCTGTGTTTGTCCACACCCTCGAAATGCTTTTGATTTAGTTCCCTGTTGACTGTGCTCATGGTGGCTGCGTGGTGAGTCTCAGCCTTCACCCCATCTTCCCCCCTCCTCCATGGTGATTAGTATTGAGGAAGCATGTACCTCGCCATGTTAACTCTCATCCTAAAACTCCCTTAACAGATCCCCAAGGCATCCCTAACCGTTAATGCCTTCCTCCTTCTAGCAGCAATGACCCCTTATCTTTAAAACTATATCACTCACTCCCATGTTTGTTACAGCACTATTCACAATGGCCAAGATATGGAAACAACCTATGTGCCCATAAATGGATGAATGGATAAATAAGATGTGGGACAGACACACACACACACACACACACACACACACACACACACACACACACACACGGAATATTATTCAGCCACGAGAAAGAAGGAAATCCTGCCCTGTGTGACA